TGGAGCGGTGGGAGCGTTATAAACTGAAGGGGGAACACGTGGTGTAGTCCCTAAGGAACAGAAGAATCATGCCTGCTGGCCACACTAGGACTCCACCCAGGCCTCATTCTTTCTGCTTTGTTCCTTGGGACTTTTTGAGTGTGGGCGAGCTGGGCTGCTTGCTGCTGAGCTCCGGGGCTAGGATTTCTGTCCAATAACCAAGTGTCCTCTTGAGTCCTTCATAGCCTCTTACCATGACCCACTCTAAGCCATTGGTTTTCCACCTTTATCAGCACAAGCCTTTTGTCCCATAAAATTGTAACTAGACACTCTAGAATATAAAACGGATACAGATCAGATCGAAGCTGCCTCTTTACCTCCCCAGCAGCAGCCCCTGGGCCACCTCTGCAGTGTCCTAGAGAGGTTTTCCAAATGTTTGCTTTTAACATGGGCATCCATTTATACTACAAAGAAACATCCAATGTCTGTTCCTATTTTGTTCTGAGCTGGGTATTTAATAGTTCTGCAAGCTAATATTTTCATGCATGAGATATCAGTAGCTGCTAGGCCTTGGAAAATCCAATTTTTTGTTCCATATTCATGTGGAATTTGAAATAAACATGATAAGTGCCAGAGAATTGCTCCGACCCATTAGCACCTTACTAGTACGTGCTGACTGTCTTATTGCGTCTCTCTGCCCAAGGTTCATTGTGGGATCAGACCGTGCTATCTTCATGCTTCGCGATGGGAGCTACGCCTGGGAGATCAAGGACTTTTTGGTCGGTCAGGACAGGTGTGCTGATGTAACTCTGGAGGGCCAGGTGTACCCTGGCAAAGGAGGAGGAAGCAAAGAGAAAAATAAAACAAAGCAAGACAAGGGCAAAAACAAGAAGGAAGGAGATCTGAAATCTCGGGCTTCCAAGGAAGACAATCGAGCTGGGAATAAAAGAGAAGACCTGTGATGGTGCAGCAGTGGCGCACTGTGGAGAGACAGGTGGATGTGGAGAGCTGTTTGCCCAGCTCGTGGGGTGGGAGTGGTCTCAGGAAACTGCACACCGGTTGACATTCTAGTTTCTTCTAGAAAGGGTCTGCCACATGACCAGTTTGTGGTCAAAGAATTACTGTCTAATAGGCTTCAAGTAAGAAGACAGGTGTTTTCTAATTAATACTGGACACTGACAAAGTCATGTTTACTGTAAAATTACCTAACACGGAAATATGACTGTGTTGCTTTTTCCCATTTACACGTGGTGAGTCAACAACTCTACTGAGATTCCACTCCCCTCCAAGCACCTGCTCTGATTGGGTTGCCTTCTGTGTCCATGTTTTTTATTTTCTGTCAACTAAAAGGATAGCAAATTCTGATCGGAGAAGTCTTTAAAACTCTTGACTTAATTGAGTCAAAACTCTTCATGCCATGTACATCATTTTCATTATGTTAAAAGTAAAATGTGCTTTGTGAACTCAGATCTATCTAAATATATAGCCGGGAAGCCAGGGTGTGTAAATACAAAATCTATGCAGGAAATGCAGAGAACAGAAAATACGTCACTTGAAATCCTAAGTAGTATTGAATTTCTTTGACTTGAATCTCACTCATCAGTAAAAGAGAACTCTTGATGTCCGTCAGGTTTTATGTGGTCTGTAAAGTTAGGGGTTCTGTTTTGTTTCCTTATTTAGGAAAGGGTACTACTGGTGTCGAGGAGTTATATGCTCCATTTAATGTGACAGTTTTAAAGGATGTAAGTAGGGAATCAGAGTCCTTTGCAGAGTTTGACAGAAGACTCAGTAACCTCATTTATTTCTAAACATTTTTCTTTGATAAAGTGCCTAAATCTGTGCTTTTGTATGGAGTTAATGTCTGATTTTGCCGTTCATATGTTAGAGCCTACTCTGAATAAGAGTTAGAACATTTATATACAGATGTCATTTCTAAGAACTAAAATTCTTTGGAAAAAACCCTCAATTGTGATTTGAAGAAATTAAAAATAGCACATTACATGGTTAGAAAATGTCAGTGTTAAATAATGGTACAAAGTGAAAGGTATAGCCCTCTCTTGCTGCCAGTAGCTTGTCCTGGTGGAAGCTGCTGTTAACAATTTGTCCCCCCACATCCCCCTCCCTGCCCACCCACCAAAAAAAGTACATTTACTTACGTAAATGTACTTATGGTGATGTATGTTTGTTTTGGCCTCACAGCTTCTGTTTCCCCTTAATTTGGTAGCTGTTCACATTTCCCTCTAAAGAACCACACCCTCTGCATTCTCAGTTCTCTACTTTGGATGGGACATTTGCCCTGCAGTCCCCGCACCCTCCAGGCCATGCCCACTCCAGGATGAAGCTTGTGTGATCTATGGTACTAGGGTACTAGGCCCCGAAAGAGGCTTTTCTTGTTTCTTCTGCATTTTGAACCTGGAGCAGAGCTGTTGTAGGCCCCGCCCTTGGAGAGGAGAGCTGTTTGACAGTGGGGCCAACACAGACAGTGGGGAGAGAGTGCCACACCCTGGTGGCATAAACGAGTCCCTGAATCATGCCATGGCTGAAACAAACCCTGTCCATGGGCTTTTTCTGTTTTACTTAGGGCAATTTGAATGGGTTACTGTCCTGCATAGCCAAAATGGCCCAGTGTAAAGCAGCTGTTTTGATGAGATAATTGCTTTAATTAAGCAAAAGGTAACAGAGCTTTTACTCTGCCTTGTACCTGGTGTTTCCACTTAGGAGCCTTCTGCTGTCAGAATGTGCAGATCTGTCTTATTGCTTTCTATGCAGTGTGCCCCCACTTCAGCCAGTAGTTCTTGTGTGTCTGTTATGTACTAGGTACTACAGGGTGCTAGGACAGTGTAGATACAGCCTCTGCTGTTGTAAAACTCAGTGATTTGGTGGGGGAAGACAAATGTCAGTAACGTACAAAGTAAAATGGCAGCTGTTAGAAGTATGAAAGGGGCAGGGTAGTGGGAGGTAGAATCTTCCCTGACCAGGTCGGGACAGCCAGAGGCCTTCTCTGAGGGCAAGAGGAAGAAAGGAGAAATAGAGTAAGGCAGGCAGAGGGAACAGTCTGAGCTAAGACCCTGTGGCTGGAAGAGGCAGACCCTGTGGCTGGAAGTGGCAGAGGGAGAGGCTGCAGGAAGGCCAACGGGGAGGCTGGGGCCCACTGCAGGCCCAGGCTGGAGTAGCATATGGAGTTTGGTAGGAATTTGGGACGCTCTGGTGGATCTTAATTGTGATGGGATGAGTGTGAAAGGCAGTCCAAGTTACACTGGTTGCACAGGAGAAGTGATTAGAAGAGGACCCCAGCAGGTGTGAGCTGTGAACTGGGAGGTGCTTCAGTAGTGCAGGCCATAGCTGAAGGTGTCCTACATCAGCAGGGTGGTGGTGAGGTTTGAACCACCAGAGTCCCTGCTGATGGACACTTGAGTGTTCAGATTTTTTGCTGATATATTAAGTGCTACAGTGGACATTTTCATACAAAATATTTTGGTACACTTTTGTTTATATCTGAAAGGTAAATTCCTAGCAGTAGAATTATTAGATTAGAACAAACAGAATTTAACATTTTGGTGTGTATTGCCAAATTGCCCTCCCAAGTGGTTTAGTCAGCTTACCCTTGCCAGCAATAGATCTATCCTTGCCAGCTCTGGGCATCACATTTACCAGTTTAATAGATTGTAAAACCATATCTTAATTGGCTACCCTGAAGCCACCATACTGGAGAGGCTGCATACAGAGTTTCACGTGGAGAGAGGGATGCCCAGGAGGCCCACCTGCTCCAACCCCAGCTGCATGAGTCTTCCAGCCCAGGCACAGACCTGTGGAGAAGATTTAAACATTTGCAGCCCCAACCTTCAAGCCATCCCAGTTGACACTGAGGGGAGCTAGCGTAAGCTGACCTGAGAAAACAGTCTGCAGATTCACGAGCAAAAGAAATGTTGTGCTGGGCACGGTGGCTCATTCCTGTAATCCCAGTACTTTGGGAGACCGAGGTGGGTGGATCTGTTGAGGTCAGGAGTTTGAGACCAGCCTGGCCAACATGATGAAACCCTGTCTCTACTAAAAATTAGGTAGGTGTGGTGGTGCGCGCCTATAATCCCAGCTACTCAGGTGGCTCAGGCAAGAGAATGGCTTGAACCTGGGAGGCGGACGTTTGCAGTGAGCCAAGATCGCACCACTGAACTCCAGCCTGGGTGACGAGGTGAGACTCTGTCTCAAAAAAACAAAACAAAAATTTTTTTGAGAGAAATGTCATTTTTTGTTTGTTTGTTTTTGAGACAGGTCTCACTCTGTTGCCCACGCTGGAGCGCGGTAGGATCACAGCTCACTGAAGTCTCGACCTCCTGGCTCAATTGATCCTCCCACCACAACCTCCCAAATAGCGGGGGGAAATGTCCTGTTTTTAACAAATTTGTTTTCCTTTTTCTCTTGTTTTAATATCTAGTGATCTAATAAATTTGGATGATATCTTTTGACTATCAACTATGAAACCTGTATTAGATATATACATCTTTCCTTCTTCCTTCATCTTCAGGCTTTCTGGTTTTGATGGTGATACTGTGGCTTTTGTACTTCTGGTGGTTTCCTTTATACTGTTAAACCTCTTTTTTTTTTTTTTTTTAATTAAACCAACTTAGTATGCATTAACCAGTGAACAAGGGAAAGGAACTCACAAACTCTTTTCTGTGTCCCTGATTATTGTTTAATAGTGTTTGTACACTGACAAGATACATAGTATCCACCTTCTGTACCCATGATGTCCACCTTTGTGGTTGGACAAAAGCATGCAGGGTAGGACATTTCTGAGCCTTGCTTTTTCCCCTGGGAGTTTTTTGTTTTTTAAGAGATAGGATCTCTTGCTGTCTCACCCAGGCTAGAGTGCAGTGATGTGTTCATAGCTCACTGCAGCCTCAAACTCCTGGGCTCAAGCTATCCTCTTGCCTCAGCCTCCCGAGTAGCTAGGACTACAAGCATGCACCACCATGCCTGACTAGGATTTTTTTTGTGTTTTTTTTTTTTTTTTGTAGAAATGGAGGTGTCTCACCGTGTTGCCTGGGCTGGTCCTCAAGCAATCCTCCTGCCTCAGCCTCTGATTCACTGGTATTAGGTTGTGAGTCACCACACCCAGCTCTACCTTTCAGCCCTTCTTACACATGGCTCCATTGGAGAGGTGTGAGGCCACCCCTGTCTTTCCCTTAGAAGTGACTGCTTTTTCTCTTTCTTTTTTTAAATTTGTTTTTATGTTTCTTTGTTTTGGGGGATTTTGTAACTTATTTTCTTTTTAAATTTCCTTTAAGACTGCTTTGTATCAGATTCCTTAGGAATTCTTCTTCATTCTTTTTTTTAATTGAAAAATTTAAATTTTAAAATAATTGTTTTAAATTAATAAATAGCATTCAGCTCCTTTTTGCTTATATAATTCATACTTAACATTTAGTAATTTTTCTAGGAAAAGTCTTAGTGTTGATTTTTTTTTTCCTAAATCTTTTTTCTTAATCCTTCTAGAGCATGGTGTGTAATTTCTAATTGATTGCAGATTCAGCTCCCCCCTCCCCCATTATTTTGGAAAAAAATTATCTTCTGTTAGCTTTAGTTTTGTGTTGGTATCTTGGGTATCTTTTTTTTTTTTTGCTCTGATACGCATTTTATATTTTTTAATATTCCATTTTTATCTCATGTTTGAGCTGTTTTTATTAAAATTCAAGTTTTTATTAACTTCTATCACTCAAAAATCCAAATGGGGAATCTTCACCTTGGGTTATATTTTCCCCCAGAATTGAATAATTATCTGTATTTGTGTGCTACATTCTTTTATTGCTGCTGTTTTCTAATTTCAAAATGTTTAGATAGATACCACATCTTTGTTTTTTTTGTTTTTTTCCTCTCTTATTCATGCTTAGGCAGACACAGCTTTTCCCAGACCTTGGCCTGCACAAGTGTTATAGGTAAGTTCTCACTGGCTCCTTTCCCTCCATATCTGAGCGTTGTCTGCTTCCCCAGGAGCGGCAGCTCCAGGGTGGAGTACTGCCTTCTCTCAGCTTTCCTATAGCTGAACCGGAAAGGAGAGGGGCTCAGACAAGGCTGTGTGTGGCTCTGCTTGACAGGTAGCCTCTGCTGTCCTGTGGCTTTCCTGAGTGTCCTAGACTAGGGTTCTCCTCCCCAGTGGGGGAGGAGAAGGAAAGGTCATGCAATATGTGGCTTTGGGCAAGAGCAGGAGGCACTTGCCCCACTCACGCAATTTGAAGGGCAGCACAAAACTTGGTAATTAAATAATATTTTAATGCAGTATGTTATAAAAACAAAAAATATTTTTTTAAAAAAACCATGATGAATAAAAGATGAACATTCTAAATACAGGATCTGTCGAGGGGTGACGAGGGTGAGGCGGAGCTGGAAGAGCCAGGGGGCAGATTCACCACCTTCTCCTGCAGTCTCTGGTTGGTATTTATGTCCTCATGCTTAAAAGTTCATATTCCCTGAATCCCAGGGTTTTGCATTCATAGTAAGAACTGAAATATTTATTTTATTTTATATATATAATTTTTTTTGAGACAGGGCCTCTGTTGCTGAGGCTGGAGTGCAGTGGTGCAGTCATGGCTCACTGCAACCTCAACCTCCCAGGCTCAAGCCATCCTCCCACCTCAGCCTCCCAAGAAGCTGGGACTACAGGTGCATGCCACCATGCCTGGCTAATTTTTGTGGGGTTTTTTTGTGTTGTTGTTGTTTTCCCGTAGAGACAAGGTTTCATCATGTTGCCCAGGCTGCTCTCAAACTCCTGGGCTCAAGTGACTCACCCACCTTGAAATCTTTATTTTTATTAAAATAATAGCACAGCAATGTTAAAAGTTCACTATAAAAGGAAGAAATTCATCTACCATCACACCATCCCAGCTATCCAAGCTGTTTTCATTTGGCCAAGCTCCCTTTGAGACCATTACCTCTGAGTGTTATATTCACGTATTTGTCATCATAGCAGAAACAGAATTTACGATTTTCCCACTCAACATTACATAGTAACGAAGTTTTTTGCTTTTTGGTGTTTTTTTTTGAGACGGAGTCTTGCTCTGTTGCCCAGACTAGAGTGCAGTGGTGCGGTCTTGGCTCACTGCAACTTCCACCTCCTGGATTCAAGTGATTCTCCTGCCTCAGTCTCCCAAGTAGCTGGAATTATACAGGTGCCTGCCACCTCGCCTGGCTAATTTTTTATATTTTTAGTAGAGACAGGGTTCCACCATGTTGGCCAGGCTGGTCTCGAACTCCTGAGCTCGTGATTCATCTGCCTTGGCCTCCCAAAGTGCTGGGATTACAGGCATGAGCCACTGTGCCCAGCCTGTAATGAAGTTTTTATATTGCTGCCTGGTCTCTGCATTCAGCGTTTTAGTGGCTGTGTAATATTCCCATCCTTTTGCTGTGCCATAATTTTAATTAACAGATTGATGTAGTGAAGACAGTAAGTAGGGCTGGACCAGGCATGGCTCTGTTACTCACACATGCCTGAGTCCAATCTCTGCCTCACTGTCTTTATCTCCTAGGAGCATCTGCTTCTACCCATGGCTCTGGCTGCCCTGTTTATATGCATAGCCCTGCCCTGCTCTCCCACCTGCCCTGGATGGTCATGGTCTTTTGGACCAGAGGTGGGCGTCTGACCCAGGTCACCATTGACCAGGTTGGCAAATCAGATCCTCTCAGCAGAGACTGGATGATTTGATAGCTGAGGCATTAATAGTGCAGCAGCCACAGTGAATTACAAGAATGTGTGCTAGTGAAGTTTCGACACTTGCCCTGGGTGTTTGACCTCCTGAGTTTTGATATTCAGGTTGTCCTTGAATTCTGAGAGCTCTGGATTCCTATGATAAACTTTTCCCTAGGGCTACTTTGAAGAGGTTTCTGCAGGCGGTCTGATCCTCTCACTCTAACTTTTCCTGATCTCTGCTTATCCATCTATGTGGGGGAGTGAGACGAAGCACTTGTGTAAAGTCCCCAGCACCGGGCCTGTATCTGTGCTCTATCTATATTTGAGTTATTTTAAGTTATCTGCAATTATCAATAATGTTGAAATGAGCAGTTTTGCTTCCTTAAGATTAGTCCTTTGGTGTCGATTTCTTTTTTTTTTTTTTTTTTTTTTTTGAGACAGAATCTCACTCCGTTGCCCAGGCTGGAGTGCAATGGTGCAATCTTGTCTCACTGCAACCTCTACCTCCCGGGCTTAATCAATCCTCCCACCTCAGCCTCCCTCCCAAGTAGCTGGGACTACAGGCATTGTCCTACTTGTCTCAGGTCTTACTTTTTCCTGTGTCCCTGATTATTGTTTCATCCCAGCTACTCAGGAGGCTGAGGTGGGAGGATCTCTTGAACCTGAGAGATAGAGCTGCAATGAGCTGTGATTATGTCACTGCACTCCAGCCTGGGGGACAGAGTGAGACCCTGGCTGCAAAAAAAAAAAAAAAAAAAATGTTTTCAGACTTTATTTCTCCTATTGGAATAAGGGAAAGAAGTTGAACTCAACTCTGAATACAGTGAAGACAATTGGGGATGTATAGCAGAAGAGCAGAGTGAGGGGGTCAGTGGGTGGAGAATTACTAACAGGAACTTGATTAGATAGCAGGGGCAAGGGGATTCTTATTAACTGGCTTAGGATTGTTACTAATGCTGGGCTCAGCCGTCCACGGTCAAGGCCTAGCTGAGAAGATGGCTCAGAGGAGCCCAACTAAAGTTTCTAAGGAGGGGTCTTTGTCATTTCTAGGGCTTTGCATGTGAATGCTCTTTACTGAAAATAGAAATTAACCCTTGACTGTGCAATCTGATGGCCAACGTTTTCCTATCCTAGGCTGTGAGGTACCTTGTTGGCCAGATAGGGTGAGGCCAGGGCTTGGAGCTGAAAGGCACTTTCAGCAGGCGAAGATCAAGCTCTTCACATAGACTTGCAGTAGGAATCCTTTGGGATAGAAGTTGACAAATATTCTCTTCTTCACCAGGCTCCAGTGAGGCTCCTTGAAGCCCTTGAAGCATTGACTTTCAGTGTCCGTTCTTATGGGGCTTGAGTTGCCCGTTTTAGCAAGAATCCTGTTAATCAACTTATTGAGAAATTCTTACCCTTGATATCTAATCACTTTTAATATCTGATCAAATTCTCCATCTTCTACCCCACCCCCAGGTGATATCTGATCACCCAGGCCTGCCTTCAGCATAATCCTGTTAGGTCTGTTTAACCAGAGTCCATCCTACCCCTGACATTTCCTTTTAGTCATTTTCCATCTACTGCCCCCCATCCTGCTCCTCAGGTGGGGTAGAAACCTGTTTGTGCATGCTGTATTCAGAATTGAGCCCACTTCTGTACTGAGGTCTCTTTCCCCTTATTGCAATACTTCCTGATTTAAATCTGTTCTTACTGCTGTAACTACCATCAGACTTTGATTTTCTTTGACTAAGTCTGAGAGGGAAAGTTCCAAAGAATAGGAGTGGCAAAGTTAGCTACGGAGAAGTTCCTCTGGGGCCGGGGAGCAGAGAGGAAGACAATGATAATTACAATGAAGAACATGTTTTTGATGTCAAAAAGTACATCACTTCCCATTACGCACTGCATGTGAGCCTCACACCTGCCCTGCAGTGGAGGAGTAGATAGTTTACAGGTGAGTGAGCCCAGAGAGGAGGGGACTTGCCAGTGATCACAAGGCCAGCGAGTGCCTTTACTACTTCATAAGACCCCTATCAAGCAAAGTAGAATTGTTCATTCTCTCCACCATACAACCAAAGCACAGCTTGGAAAAGTGATTTGGCTAGAACCCTTCTCCAAAGCTATCTGTAGTGGTATATCATCTCCTAAAGGAAAGTCAATTTAAAAAGTAAAGGATGTACCCGCTAGGGGGCAGCAGAGACCGGCTGTGCCTCATGGCCTTCCCCACCATGTCTGGCTCTCATTTGCCGCTGATCCTTCGGTGATAATTCTTCAGCTATTATTTTAATTAACAGTCTGCCCAGTCTGTGCTTGCAAAATATCTGTGAAAATCTGCATACACCTCTCTCTCTGAATTTCTCTTGGAAATCTAAGGGATTATCTCATCCATGTGTACTGTTCTAATATTAATTTACTTCATCCTCGTAGCAAGCAGCCCTATGCGGTAGATACTGTCATCCCCATTTTGCACACAAGGAAACTGAGGCACATAGACATTCAGTATTTTCTCCACGGTCATGCTGCAAGGCAGTGACAAAGCCAGGATTTTTTTTTTTTTTTTTTTTTTTTTTAAAAGACAGAGCCTTGCTTTGTTGCCCAGACTGGAGTGCAATGGCACCATCTTGGCTCACTGCAACTTCTGCCTCCCGGATTCAGGCGATTCTCCTGCCTCAGCCTCCTGAGTAGCTGGGATTACAGGCACCCGCCACCACACCTTGCTAACTTTTGTGTTTTTAGTGGAGACGGGTTTTCACCATGTTGGCCAGGCTGGTCTCGACCTCCTGACCTCAACTGATCCACCCGCCTCTGCCTCCCAAAGCGCTGGGATTACAGGTGTGAGCCACTGTGCCCGGCCTCAAACCCAGGATTTAAATTCAGGCAGGCAGACTTCAAAATTGACACCAGCCACCGTAAGCTGCCTGGGAAAGGGGCTGCTCCCATTCTCTGGACCTCTTCTCAGACCCATGTGCCAAGTGTTGGTACAAGCACTCCCCATGTAAGTGCTGAACACGAATAAGTTTTGGGAAGTGTGCAGGCAGTGGAGATAAAGATAGCAAGGCAGGAAAGGTCCCTGCCCTCTTGGTATTGACAGGTTGAATATTAAAAGATACGCGATGTCTTTTAGCATCGAGTGTGCCTACTGTGTGCAGGCTCTGGACATCCTTACCTAACTGTGACATGCTACCCACTGTATGCAGGTCTTTACATACTTTATTTCATTTACTCTCATTTTGTTTTCAGTTAGGGTCTCACTCTGTTGCTCACACTGGAGTACACTGGCACAATCTCAGCTCACTGCAGCCTCGACCTCTGGGCTCAAGTGATCCTCCCACCTCAATCTTCTGGGTAGCTGGGACCACAGGTGTGTACCCTCACACCCAGCTAATTTTTTAATATTTTTTGTAGAGACAGGGTCTCCCTATGTTGCCCTGGCTGGTCTTGAACTCCTGGGTTCAAGCAATCCTCCCACCTGGGCCTCCCGAAGTGTTGGGATTACAGGTGTGAGCCACTGTGCCCGACCTCACTTACCCTTCATAACCCCACAAGGTTGGTATTAGTTAACATTTAATATGAGGCCCTTTGAAGCACAGTTCTGGAGTTGGACTTCCCAGTTCTGCATTTTATTAGCTGTATCATCTTGGACAAGTTATTTAAGGACTTCACTCATCTAGGCCTGTAGGTGCCAATAAAAGCTCCCATTTCAGAGAAGTATTACAAGGATTAAATGAGCAAGTCCCTGTGAAGCACTTAACAGCTTTCTTTTTTATTTATTTTATTTTTAAAGTAAAGAGGTGGGGTCTCACTATGTTGCCTTGGCTGGTCTTAAACTCCTGAGCTCAAGCAATCCTCCCACCTTGACCCTCCAAAGGAGTACA